CACGAACCTGCGTCCCCCGCATCGGCAGGCGGACTCCCAACCACTGCGCCACCAGGGAAGCCCCCTTATAGATTAATTCTTAAATTATTCTTCAGACCATTAATTCAGCAGCCTTCTGAATAATCATTTCTTAATATTTATCATACCTGCTTCAGCAATGAATTCACGGAAGCACAGAGATTGGAAGTGTTTGCACTGTTGAACTATATTCAGAATCAGTACTGCTGTGACAACTTTTCACCTGTTTTCTCCATCAAGATCAAGCTGTTTTCAAATATGAAATTGTTTTCAATATATTATTCAGACACAGGAATAGAGTGAAACAAGAGAGGCATCCAGGGCACAAAATTTAATGAGGCATTCACTCATCAACCCCACATTTACATGACCCTAAAAGTGCCAATGTAAATTCTGTGCCCTAGATGTCTTGCTTGTCACCTCCTAGTCCTAGCCCTGCCATTATTTCAGTATATTTGCAAATATCCCAAAGAAAACCTATCTTTCATCTCTCTCATTTCAACTAAGTAAAAAAAAATATTTTTTAGGAGGGGTACATTTTATACTTTGATTTAAAAGAGTTTAAGAAAGCATTAGCTATACGCATGTAATACTTCTTTAACTGCACTCAATAAGATTACCAAAATAACTATCCAGTATGTACATGGTGTTTGAGGACGTGAGGGAAGATACCATTTCTCATCTGCAGATTAACAGAGAAAATAACTGACCAAATTAATTCTAAGTCTTACATGGAATTTTGTACAATTAAATAACTTCAACTATTACAGAGACAATTGCATAAGCAAGAGAACCATTATTTCAAAATCTGGGAGGAAAAAACATTTCCTGGCTGAATTAATATAAGGAAACAATCTCATTTGCCTAAGCGTTCTTCCTCCCTTTTCTTTTTAAATTCTCAACCCAAAAGGAAAAACAAAACAGAATTCCAAATCACTGCCTTGAGGATTAAAATACATATAAAACACAAAGGTAATTAAGTAAAAATCCTAGAGTTTTAACTTCTATAGTAAAAGCACCAATTAAAACATAATCTCTTTCAATCTTGCTTATTAAAATTATTCTTACCAGATAAAGCAGAAAGGTGTGCAGCCCTGTTCCAAGCCCAACAGAAGACAAAATTCCTAAGCCTATCCAGTAGGCATACAAAAGAAACTGTTTCTCTATACGTTGCACATACTGAAAAACAAAAGGGATGAGGTGAAAACAAAATCAGAATTCTTAAGCAGAAATATGGTATTTATCAACTATAATAAAAAGAAAACAAACCAACTAAGTTTCCAATAGGAAGAAAGTATTAAGATTGAAAGCTCCTTGAAGAGTTCAAATTCCTCTAATATGCAGTAGCAGAGATGGCAAAAAAAATCATGTAACTGGACTAAAGCTCATTTCTACATTTTAAAAGTCCTATTATTACAATGACATTTACACAAAAATGCAAATTATTGATAACTATGAGAATAAAAAATTTAAAGATACTTAAAAGTTATAAAAATTTTGTTTAAGAAAGCATGATAGGGACTTCCCTGGTGGCGCAGTGGGTTCGAGCCCTGGTCCGGGAGGATCCCACTTGCCGTGGAGCAACTAAGCCCGTGAGCCACAACTACTGCATTTATAAGTATAAAAACTTCTCTGATTAGAGGTAACTGCTGCTCCTCCCCATTTTTATTTATTTTTATTTATTTATTTTTCCCTCCCCATTTTTAATGCCATTTGTTGTCCTAATTTTACAGGTAATATATGTTTATTACAGACAACTAGAAAAACATAAAAGCGTAAAATAAAAAACAATTACCCATAATCTCCACCCCCCCAGAGACAATCACCATCAGCATTTTGATGCATTTAGAGGTAAACTGCTCTAAAATATGAAATGATACCATTTTAGAACTATTTCCTAATAGAATACATTAACGTTTTGCAATTTTATCAAAAGTTATTAACAAAATGTCCTATTTTCCCTTCATTTATGCTGTACAGATGATAGGCAAGTGAACTGCCCCCCACTTTATAAATATAAAACCTAACCTTCAATCTAGGATGAGTATATCAGCTTGGATGGATCACAGGAGTGTGTTATAAAAAATATGAAGACTTTGGTAGTGATTAAAGGATTCACACTGCTTTGACTAAACACTGTTAGGAAAGTTACATTTAAATCCTTAAAGGTAAAAAGGAATAATATATATCCAATATAAATGCTGAGCAGCCATGAACTACCACAAGAATATTTTTAATATCTGGCCTTAAAAGTAAGACATTAAGATACCAGTTATGAGATAAATTTTAAAAAAAATCAATGAAATCCACAAAAGCTCCATTTTGAAACTGGGATTAGGGAAGGTACAAGAATAGAAACAGAGGTGCTGAACCTCTTACCTGTTGATGTGCTCCTTCAACATAATATGTAGCTATAAGCACAGCAAGCAGCAGTAAAAAAGACACCACAACGCTTTGACGATGCCATAATCTTAAAAACAAATTTTAAAAAAATGAAATATGTCACAGTCTCATTATCAGGATTCATCACTCTCAAAACATTTCTTATTGAAGCAATTAGGTTACTTAGCTCAGCTTTAGAAGTTGTTCTTGCTGGATTGAGCTCTTTTGTTCTTAAACACTATGGTCTCTTGGGGGTACAGAAGGGGGTCAAGACCAGATACTTGGGTATAGAATCGAATTTCTTATTAGAAACACCATCGTAGGGGCTTCCCTGGTGGCGCAGTGGTTAAGAATCTGCCTACCAGTGCGGGGAACACGGGTTCGAGCCCTGGTTCAGAAGGATCCCACATGCCACAGAGCAACTAAAGCCCGTGCGCCACAACTACCGAAGCTCCCGCGCCTAGAGCCCATGCCCCACAACAAGAGAAGCCACCACGATGAGAGGCCCGCACGTGGCAGCAAAGAGTGGCTGCCACTCGCCGCGACTAAAGAAAGGCTGCGCAGCGAGGACCCAGTGCAGCCATAAATAAATAAACAAACATAAACAACTTTATAAAAAAAGAAAAAGAAATTCCATCATAGCCTTTCCCATACCCCAAAACTAATCTTTTATATATACCCCAACTTCTATTTGGGACAGGCATTATGATATAATGGAAAGGGCACTGGCCTTTAGTTAGAAGACTTGGATCAGAGTCCCTTAAGTACTGTACTTTGAGTAAGACACTCAACCAATCTGATTCTGTTTCTTGTTTTTAAAATCATGATGATCATATACTTATTTTACCTTCTTCATGGAATTGCTATAAGGATCAAATGAACTTAAAAAGTGTTACAAAATGCTTCATAAACTGTATGCACATAAAAAGGTAAGATATTATTACAGATAACTTGGAAAAGTAAACCAGAAAATGATTAAGGCAAGTAAAAGTTCAACTTGCTCTTTATGATATCAGAAACAGGGCTTACAAGCACTAAATTTAAAGATCGAACACAATTTCCATGGCAGAGTCCTTTTTTATTGGCTCAAACTATCAGTAGTGCCACATATCCTGAACCTTGACCTACTAAAGAATCAGTGTATTTAATGTACACAGGCCTGATTTCTCCTGAAGGTAAAGCCAGAAGAAAGAACTTCTTGTTTTCAGTGCTCTCCTCTGCATAAAAGATTCAACATGAGACAAAGGTCAACTGTAACAATCCAGTGAACAAATAGCAACAAGTTTCCCTAATCTATTTTTCTTCAAACTACACATAAAAAGGAAAATAAGGATGTTCCTATAACATTCTAAATTTAATTAATCCATTTTGATAGAGCAGGTGGCAGGGAGACTGTTGAAGATTTCTAAAATTAGTAAATACGGTTTATATAAAAGGAAATGGAAGACTCTTTACCTTGAGGTCCATTCCTTCAAGATTACTAGGATTTCCAGAGAAAAATACTGCAAGGTAACGAGTGGCTGTCTCCACAGGACAATATTCTGCCTTTCTTCCCGATCCCTCCTCTTCTTTTCATTCACTGAAGAGGGATCTGAAAAACATTAGTGTAGAAGTTAAAACAGGATGCTCACTTTTTCCAGTTACTTTTAAAATTCACCTACCTTCCCATCCCACATCTGAAGGACTGCATATAAACCTCAAAAAACAATCTGGTTCACATTGTGTCAAGTCTAGGCTATGTCCTGCTGCTCTACTCTTACCATTATTTTTGGAATTATTTTATTGTCAGGACACAAGTTTCTTTTCTTATACATTACTGGAATGCTAAATTAGCCCACTTTCTATGAAGGGCAATTTAGCACCATATCATAGAACAAAGTGGTTTAGAGCTCAAAACGTGAAGGCAAACTACTTGGTTCCAAATCCTGGCACTGCCATCTACTAGTCATGTGATCTTGGGTAAGTTAATTAACCTTTCTATGCCTCAGTTTTCTCTTCTCTAAAATGAAGATAAAAACAGTACTTACTTTTTAGTGTCTTGTAAAGATTAAATGAGTTAATACATGTATGTATATGTGCAATTAAGGTTAGTTATTATTGGTAATAATAGTAACTCTCTCAGCATCATCTCTCAAAATTATAAATGCATATACCCTGTCACCTAATAACTCCATTTCTAAGAATGATTAGCTGTAAGGAGAAGTACAACTTTTGTACAAGTTTATTCAATACAGTGTTATTGGTTCTAGCAAAATATTATAAACAAATGTTACCAACAGAGGACAGAGGAGCTATTAAATATGATAGACTTGTACAATGAAATACTAAGCAGCCATAACAAAGAATAAGTTCTTCATGTACAACCTCTAGGTAATATTAAGTAAAAAACCCCAAACAACACACACCATGGTACAGAATAGAAAGTGTGTCATTCTAACATTAATTTTAAATTCCAAAGGGGTGGGCAGTAGTGGAAGAATACATAAATGTATGTGCTTGTTGAAAGAAAGCAAAGAAAAAATAACATGCAAAAGCTCCTAATGGGATGAGACTACGATATATGCAATGTCTATTTCCAAATCCTGAAACTCCTGTTGAAACGATGCAAAACTTATTGACAACCAAAGTAACCTAAAAGTCAATAAGTGCTGCAAAATACGCCCTGCAAGGCAATGCAGTGATCAAAACAAACAAATGGAAATTACTACTTCAAACAGCTTGCAATTCTACTAATAGAAGAAAATTTCTATGATATAATATTACCGTGCTGAAGTATTATTTGCAATGTGTTTGAGATGCCAAACGATTTAGAAGTTAAAAAGAAAACCATTACAATTAACAGAAAAGGAAAACCTTTCATTTTCTTTGAAACACAAAGAGGAAAGTTCCTACTTAAATCATCTATATAATAGCTGTAATTTTCAGGGTAAATATGTGAATAAGAGTCAAATATACTGAAATTTACCACAAATTCCTAGTTTGGTTAAAATATAAATTTATGTGTTTCAAACTAAAATTTAAAAATAAATCCACAATAATCACACTTTGACTTTTTGGATAATTATAAAATTAGGATTAGCATAATAAGTAAATTTATAATCTACTTCTAAAGTTACAAAATAGTATGATAAAACTAAGTGCCAAACAAAGCCAAATAAATATTTACCACACCACAAGATTAAAAAATAATAATCTTGTACCTAGAACACCGCTTATGTGACTATGGCCAGGTTGCTTCTGCTATCACTGTGAAAAATCACCTCATAGGCCCTTATATAGCCATAATTTAATTTACTATGAAGATGAAACAAAAGATAATCAATCTTTTACAAGATTTATAAGAATTTTATGTATGCTATATTATTATATAAGGTATTATTTTGTTAACAAAAGATAATAAATATTAGATATAATATATTTCTAATTTATTCCAATGAAAAAGATATCATTTAAACCCATAGATCTTCTCCCTCCAAACCACCATACTTCACCTGTGAAGTTTCCATTATATTGTTCCTTGTTCATTGCTACACATCTCTGGTCACAATTTTTTCCATTCTCTGCCATTTCATAGATCAATAACTCTTGAGGAGCTAATAAAACAAAATAAAATCCAGTGATATGTTACATACTTCTGCTTTGCATCTGTGGCTGAATGAAACTGAATACAAAAACAACATGGGAATAATCCCCACATACTATCTCAATAATGTGTTTACACCTTAATTTTCTCTTTTATAATCAAGATTTAATAATCTGTATAGAAACTGTAGTAGAAGTATTAAAAATATAAATGCCATGTTGTTGTAATCCTTTTCCAAACAGTTATCCCAGTGATTTTCCAGATTAAAATTTGGAGGCAATCTGTCCACAGAAGGATATAAAATACTAGCACCTTCAAGTACTGATAACCTATAAGGTCTAAAGTCTTTCTAATTCAAAATCGAATATCATACATACTATCTACACAAATTTTACCAATCTTTCAGTCTTTTTAGCATTACTTTAAAAAAATGATTATATTATCAAACATGTCAAAAATGCTGACACACAGATCCAAGATCAATTTTATTTAGGAAACAATTCTATTGAAAAAAAAATGATATGGGCACAGAAGGTGAAAAATTTTTAAGTTTAAGATAAGTTAAATGTACTCTTTATAGCATGATTCATATTACAGGTATAGGTATAAGACATAAATTTTTACTTTAAATCCCTGTATTACAACATATAAATTGTGCTGACATAATTATTCTACACAAAAACACCAGATTACCTGTGCAGGTATCATTCTTTCAGGTGCTGGTAAAGCAAATCTTTCTACTCAAAAAGCTTATCACTTCAAAGTCTCAATGCTGAGTCCTCTGCATGTGCCATGAGTCCTGCTACTCTTATACTCAGCTGATTAGACTATGACATGGTCATGGGTTCAATCTTCCTATGGTTTGTTACCTGGAGCTATTTTATTCCTTGACTAAAATTCTAACCATAATTTAGTCCTCATAAAGGAAAATAAGTCAAAGACTATAAAGACAGAACAAAGAGCATACATTCATCACTCCAACAGAAGGTCTCTTCTTTTAGACACAATCCATTTGTGGACACCTGTGTTTTGCTGCCTTCATTTCTCAATAAACAAATAAACATATTAGGAAATAAAGTATAGGTTTCCATTAGCACAGATGGATAGCCTGGAGCAGATGATTATAAGTCTAAAATCTGGATTTGCATGCCAGATTTGCCACTAACTAGTTGTGTGACCTTAAACAAGTCTCATTTTTTCTAGATCTTGATTCTCTGGATCTACAAAAGGAGGACAAAAATTCTCACTTTCACAGGATTA